CCTGCTTACCTTTTCTCCTTGGTATTTTTCACTATCTCACATACTATTTACTTCCTTATTTGTTTAATGTCTGGCCCCCCCATGAATGTAAGCTCCAGGAGGGCAAGGATTTTTGTGTTTTGTTCACTTAATGACTCTCCAGCACCTGGAAGGACATGACACTTAGTAGGTGCTCTGTAAACCTACGCAGAGTGAATGAATGATGCATGGGTGGGGCTTGGGGCAGAGCCAATATGGCTCTAGGAGTAGCCCCTGGAAGGGGCGGGGCTCAGAGACTAGGCGATCAGGGTAATCCGAGTATGAAAGTAAATCTTACTCAGAGGGGAGGGGCTGGGCGGGGCAAAGGTCTGCGTGGGGGCAGAGCTAGACTGGGGGTGGAGCCTTGGGGGGGGTTCTTCCTGGGGCTGGGCCATTTCCGAGGCTTGCAGTCTTGGGGTGGGACCAGTGTGGGGGCGGGGCCTACCTGAGGCGTGGCCAATCTGGAGAAAGGGCCGGGCTGGGGCGTAGTCAAACGGGGGATAAATAAAGGAAGGGAGGGGCTAAGACTGGGGCGTGGCTAGGGCAGGACCAGCCCAGGGCCCGGGAAATCTGGGCGGGGCGGAAGCAGGGTGGCATGGGCGGGGCCAGGCTAGGGGCGGGGCTAGGCCGGATTCTCCGCTGTCCCAGGTCCTGGAGCACTCCCGCCAGGCAGGTCTCGCTCCCGCCCTGCAGGCCCCTCCCTCGCTGGCCGGGCCCCAGGAAGCGCAAGGCAGGACGCCCTAGGCTGGGCGGCCGCGGTCGGGCCTCGCCCCAGACGCTGCGCTCGGGGCCAGGCGTCCGCTGGGGGCCCTGGAGGACTCAGCTCCGTACTGCCCCCGGGGCTACGTCCCCGGAGACTCCGAGGGTGAGCAGGGCTGTGGGGGCCTGCGAGTGCATACGTGTGTGCGTGCATGTGCATACCGGTGTATGTGCGAGTGTGTGGACGTTTGTGCGCACCAGGGGAATTGTGTGCGTGCGTGGAGTTGGGTAGGTGTGAGCTCCAGGGAGCTGAGTGTGTGTGCGAAGTTGCATGTGTGTGCAAGGGCAGCCCCGTGTGGGAGGTGGGTCGTGCATGTGTGTGCCTGTGTGTGTGTTACAGAGACAGTGCCTGTGAAATTTAGTGAAGACTGTGTGTGTATGTCAGGGTGTCTTGGAGGAAAATGGGAGGGCAGGTGCAATGATACTTGGGGATCTATAGGGTCAGGACGTCTGTGGCGAGCTGTGGGGTGCGTGGGTGGGTGATGAATTGTGGGAGTATAAGAATTGCAAAGGTGTGTTTCCATGTGAGTGACAATGAGGGGTGCTGCTGCGGGCCTCAGTGTGAAGGGGTGGGGACCGAGGAAAGTTTGGGTACTGATTGCTCTTTGAGGGATGAGTGTGATCTGGAGCAGTGGGTAATGGACAGGGCAGGTGTTTGGGGCCTGGCTCAGAGTAATTTGGTGATCACATCAGCCCCCTTGCTTTGAGGGCTGGGGAAATGTGTGGGTGGAACCTGAAGGGGCTGGGCCTGCCCCTTGCTTGGGGAAGCAGTGGGCAGGGTTCTTGCTTCAGGTGGAGGGAGCTGCTACCTTACCAGTCACCTGTCACCCAGGCTCTGTGCTCACTCCTACCTGGGTGGCTTCTGTTGGTGCTCCTGCAAGAACATGGTGCAGAAGTATCAGTCTCCTGTCCGCATCTACAAGTACCCATTTGAGCTGGTCATGGCGGTGAGTGACTCCTGATTCTCCAGCCCCTTGTGTGATGGTTAGAGGGACACAGGAGGTCAGCTATGCAGGAATGAGAGGAAGCCCCTCAGTCCCCCCAAATGAGAAGGAATTATTGAGCTGCTCCGCTGACCTGGTGGGTCAGGCTTCTCACTAGTGACCCCTCCACCCAGTCACCCCAGCCTTCACCACAGCCTCTGGAATCCTTGCCCACTGACCAAATCACAAGATCTTTCTTTCTTTCTCCTTGATGAAGCAGCCTTGTTCTCTCATCTCAAGCTCCTCTAACACGATATCCTTGTTTTCTAACAGAAAACAAGGATATCGTGGGCCAAGCCACTACTGTCATTTGTGTAATGCTAATAATAATAATAGTAAATATACTAATGATGATGATGGTAGCAGCCATTCACCGAGGGTTTACATGGCCAAGTCTTTACAGACATTGTTTCATTTTTCTCATTTTACCTTCACTTAACTGAAGCTTCGAAGGGTGAAGGGGTGGCCCCAAGTTCCGTGGCTGAGAAGAGGTAGAGCCAGGGCTCAGACCCATGCAGGGGGTACTCCTGAGCCATGATTTTTACCACAACACTCCCCCAGGGTCCTCCTTCTGTTTGCACACCGCTTGTCCTTTCCCTCAAGGAAGCTGAGAGGGGGCCAGTGTACAGCAAGGGCAGTCATTTTCAAGGTGGGTTCAGACTCACTCTATGTAAGTCAGGCAGCCAGTCAATTGAGGGACTAGAATTGACTCCCAAGCTCTTGGCCTCCTGAATCAATGGTCTTTGCACCAAGGGGCAGGTGCTGTAAATAGGCAGATGTACCTTTCCTTCTTGGGACCATCCCTCTGCCTCTCAGAGGTCTCATTCCTTGGGGAAAAGGGAGCAATGCTATGGGCTTGTGATAGGAGTGAATGAGAAATGTGTAGCACCTCTGGCCCAATGCCTGGCACAGAGTCAGCACTCACGAAATGTGGTTGTCCCTGCTCTTCCACACAAGGTGTTATAAATGATTGTATTGAAAGTGCAAGAAACACTGGCATCCACCTGCATCCTCCCCATCCCAGCCTGGCTGCTTAACTTCAGCCATTGATTCAAGGACTTTAATATCAATTGGTACCTCTGTGGATGTGTGTCCTGCCTGATCTTATTCTACAAAGCTACCTATATATGTGTTTATAATCACATAATGGATTGTAAAGCATCTGGAGTCATTCATACATGTTGTGTTGTTATGTGCAGATGATTCCAGGGCAAGAGGCAGGGGGCAGGCCTGGGGTTGTATTGACCAGCTGGGTGACCTTGGGCAAGTTACTTAACCTCTCTGAGCCTCCATTCCCCATCTCTAAATGAGGAGTAGGTGGTTTCCAAATCCGGGCTTTGTACCATGGATTAAATGAGTTGATATATGTAAAGCTCCCAATGCAAGGTCTGGCACAGACCAAGTGCTGTTACTGTTATGGTTGTTGCTATGTGTGGCTGTGTGATGAAGGTGGGACACCCTCCCTCCCGTAATGAGGGTGGGACACCAGGGGATGATGAAGAGTCAGAAGCGCTGGGTCCTTGCTGCAGCTCTGCTGAGCTCTGGCTGTGTGCTGTTGAAAAGTTATTGAATTTCTCTGAGCTTTGGTTTCTTCATTTGTGAAATGGGGATGGTTATATGCACTTCACAGAGTTGTCATGAGGATGTTATAAATATATATATTATAATATATATTATAATGTAGGGGGAATAGGGGGGTGGGGGGCAGGTGCCCTGCAAAGAGCTTGGTCCATACCAAATAGACAATAAATGGCAACTAAATATAAATACTTGTCTTCTGTCTAAGGCTCCAGGTAGCTCACGTATTCTAAGACCCTAGGACTCATTCATTCATTCATTTAAAATAAGAGAGACACCATCCCGACCCTTCTGGAACAATCCAAGGCCCTGTGGTTTTCTACCATGAAACTGAGACAAATAACTGTAAAATGGAAAACTAATACTGTTTTATTATTGCATGAGCTTAATAAATGTAAATTTAATTTAGCATATTTAGGATTCTCAAAAATATTTACAATTATTGCACTTTAAAATAAAACACGCTGGCTAAAGTAGCACGTAAGTCTGTATAAATAAGACTAGTAAAGTATTCACATTGACTTTACTGGAGTATGTTAAGTATGTTAAGCATATTTTGTAAGCTTCCTGTTTCATAAATGAAAGGAGGACTCCCTTTACTCCCCTATCTGTTAACAGTCCCTAGGTGTTGATGCATAGAGGCTTGTGGGTACAGTAGGAAACAAAGGTTTTCAGATACTTATTATCTGTATCTGCATTAATTTATTTGTATTTCTCAAAGGGACAGCCTTGCCCATGTTTCCTTATCTTCCGTAAAATCCTTGTTGGTGAAAGGGCCCCAAACCTCTGCAATGTTACCGACAAAGCCACTTTGCCGACTGTTTACAAAAAACATCACTGTCCCCCAAATAGCTGCATAACTCAACATAACTTGCATGCTGTGTGGGCACAAAAGGGTTTTTCTGCACTTAATGTCCGTCTTTGTTTCTCAGCTAAACACTTGCCTTCAGTTTGGGTCAGATGCCAGGCAAGTTTCAGATGGACTCAGCTATTCTCAGTGCATCCGAGTGACCAGATGAGCTGGCCTTTGGTTTTTCTGTTTAACAAAACTGACTTGAGAATTGAAGCATTCCTTGCTTCAGAAGTCCACCAGGAACAAACACAAATGACTAAAACTGAACTCAGGGAATTGGTTATAAAATAGCACTGAGCCAACCTTTCTAGACTGAGCTTAAAAAATTACCCCGCCCCCCAATTTTTTTTTCTTCTTTCATTTCAAAAATTTAACTAATCCAGTGAATGGGTGTCTCTCTCCTTGGGCCAAATCCCCTGACGTGAATTTTGTTTCTGAAAGGTGGGATTCCAAGGAGCTTTGTTTTCTTCTTTCTTTTTTTTTTTTTTTTAAAGATTTTATTTATTTATTTGAGACAGAGAGAATGAGAGAGAGAGAGCACATGAGAGGGGGGAGGGTCAGAGGGAGAAGCAGACTCCCTGCCGAGCAGGGAGCCCGATGCGGGACTCGATCCCGGGACTCCAGGATCATGACCTGAGCCGAAGGCAGTCGTCCAACCAACTGAGCCACCCAGGCGCCCTGTTTTCTTCTTTCTTGATTGTATTCTGTATTATTTGGTTCAAAACAGTGAGCTCGTATTATCTTGGTAAACAGAGGGAAACAAGACAATGGAGGTAGCTGTGTATCCAAGGTTGGAAAGGGTCTTTGGTCCCTTTGTGTGTGGGGTCCCAGAAGGTGGTGGTGGGGTCTTTGTGCAGAGAACACAAAGGCCGTGTCTTGGACTTCAGACAGTGGTCCCTTGAGCATCGAAGGCCATTCTCTGGTCAGCTTGCACCCTGTTGTGAATGGATTCTGGGTTATCTGGGCTCTCCTCCCAGATGGATGGTGGTGAAGAGCCAGATCCATCCACTGGGTCCCTGCTCCAATTTCTCAGCTGGAAAATGGAGGATAATAAAGCCTCTTGCTCTACCAAGAGTGGAAGTGAGGATTGAATGAAGGGACAGGGGTGCCTGGACAGGGCCTGGCATATTGTTCATGCTGGTGAAATATTATTTAGGTTTATTGTTATTATGTATTGTTCTAACAGCTTTACTGAGTTATAAGTCACATACCCGATTAAAAGGTTCAAGTCAGTGGTTTTTAGTATTCATAGAGTTGTGTACCCATCACCACCGTCAGTTTTAGAGCATTTCATCACCCCAAAAAGAAACCCTGTGCCCATTTGCAGTCCTATCCAATCCCTACACCCTCAGCCCCTGACAACCACTAGTCTACTTTCTGTCTCTGTAGACTTGCCTATTTTTTTTTTTTAGATTTTATTTATTTATTTATTTGAGAGAGAGAGAGCAGGAGAGGGGGTAGGGTCTGAGGGAGAAGCAGACTCCCCGCCGAGCAGGGAGCCCGATGCAGGACTCGATCCCGGGACTCCAGGATCATGACCTGAGCCGAAGGCAGTCGCTTAACCAACTGAGCCACCCAGGCGCCCCTGTAGACTTGCCTATTTAGGACATTTCATGTAAGTGGAATCATAGAATATGTGGCCCTTGGTGACAGGCTTCTCTCCCTCAACATCATGTTTTCAAGGTTCATCCACGTTGTAACATGTCAGCACTTCACTCCTTCTTATGGCTGAGTCATATTTCGTTGCCTGGATAGACCACATTTGTTTTCCACTCATCAGTGGAAGGATTTTTTCCAATGTTGGCCTATTACGAATAACACCGCTATGAACACTGAGGCCCAAGTTTTTGTGTGGACATATTCCTTCCAAAGAAATCCCTGCCATGAATGGTAGTGATCATTTGTGGGTTTCGGCAAATTCTATCTTAAATGTTATTTAATAAACATGTTCACAGTGCTTATGAGGTCCCAGGCACTGTTCTGAGCCCATTCAAATATTTTTTTTAAAGATTTTATTTATTTATTTGAGAGAGAGAATGAGAGAGAGAGAGAGAGCACATGAGAGGGGGAGGGTCAGAAGGAGAAGCAGACTCCCCGCCGGGCAGGGAGCCCGATGCAGGACTCGATCCCGGGACTCCAGGATCATGACCTGAGCCGAAGGCAGTCGCTTAACCAACTGAGCCACCCAGGCGTCCTGAGCCCATTCAAATATTAAGTTGTGTACTTCTCCTAAGCACCCCAAGAGATAGGTTCTATGGGTAGCACCATTCTACTAGAGGAGGAAACTGAGAAATGGGAAGGATGAATGGATTCCCCAAGGCTACAAAGCAAACATGAAGCAGGTGGGGACAACTGCAGGCAGTTCAGCTCCAGAATTTACATTCCCAATCATGAACTCTGCCATTTCTCAGAGCTGAGGATCTCAACTCATTGGGGTGGCATCTGGGCCCAGTGAGTAGTCTGGCTGGGACAGTTATCACCAGGACTGTGTCCCAAATGCCTGCACTCCATCAGGACCGCACAAAGGGGAGCACGGTGGAACCCACAAACCCTGGCCTTCTGGTCGGGGGACAGCCAATGCTGACAGAGCCTGGCAGAGGTTACCTACCAGATGCTCTGTGTGCCCAGCCCTTGAGGCCCGCTCAGAGGCAGGAATTTTCATAGCAGCCTTGGCTGCAGTGGGAGGGAAAATTAAGGTTTTCAGAGGGTATGGAGACTATCCCCTAGTTAGTACATTCATTGGCTAGGGCTGCGTAACAATGTACCATGACTGGGTGGCTTAGAACAACAGAAATCTAGAGGCCAGCCGTCCAAGATCAAGGTGTCAGCAGGGCTGAGCCTCCTCTGAAGATACTTTGGAAGGATCTGTTCCAGGATTCTCTCCTGGCTTCTGGTAGTTGTTCAGCGTGTGCTGGCATAACTCCAACCTTCACATGGCGTATTTCCTGTGTGTGTGTGCCTCTGGGTCCAAATTTCCTTTTTTATAAGGAAGGACACCAGTCATATTGGATTTATAAATACACTCTAGTGACCTCATTTTAACCTGATTACCTCTGTAAAGACCCTCTTTTCAAATAAGGGCACATCCAACATACCTTTTCTGGGGGGACATAATTCAGCCCATTATGCTCAGTAAATGGCATCATCAGTAAATGACAGAGATTTGAATTTAGGGGAATCTGACCCCATAGCCTGTGCTCACAGCCAGACATTCCAGATTCGGGCACTGATGTTCCGTAAACACTTGTGCACCAGTGGCCACAGCGGTTTCAGGAATGACCTGGCTGCCTCTTGTCCGGGCACTGCCCTGGGATCCCAGTGGGGCTCTCAAGCCCCGTGACTTCAGCTCATCTCAGATTCTGCAAATCCAAAGAAGGAAGATGGCTTGGAGTAGAATTTCCTTAGCAATAGGCTTTTCACACAGAGGAAGGGTTATGGAGGTGAGAGCTGTCATCAGCAATTAAGTGTTAAAATATTTAAAGACCTGGCCTTTTGTATTGAAAACAGCTTGTAATTTAGCGAATGAATTATTAATAAGGAGCAGCATCTAGAGGTAAATCCTTGCAGCTCAGGCCAGGGCAGTTACAGTTGGACCCGTTGTTATGGGCATAGTTTTAATAAAGCAGCAGGGGCCTTATTTAAATGAGTTTAAATTAGTTCCCTGGAGCCCATCATCTGATCCTGTTGCTAACAGATTAAGGGAAGTGACATCTTCCATCCTGGATTTCTTACGGGGATCTGACGCATTCTGATTTGGGCTGGGAGAACAGAGGCGATCCACTGCCCAGCAAAGTGATCGTATGATTTCAGAAGCAAATTTTAGGTCCTCACTCATTAGTTTATGCAAATACTAATTCACACATGTGTTCGTGTATGCATCCTCTGAATACTTATTGAATTTCACTGTGTGCTAAGCAGCACGCTAGGTGTAGGGGCTACAACATAGTGGATTCCTAGCACTTTTTGAAATGCATCATGATTCTGTGCGCTTGCTTCCTTGCTTGTTTATATGGGTCTTTCTCATTAAATTAAGCTTCAGGAAGGCAGGAACGATGTCTTTGTTCTGGTTCTCCTGACACCATCCCTTCCTGCCCTCATGGAGCTTGTAGTGGGGTGTGTGTGTGTATGTGTGTGTGTGTGTGTTTCTGAGAGAGAGAGAGAGAGAGAGAGAGAGAGAGGAGAGAGGAACCGGGCAAATGCCATGTAGAGTGATTCCTAATAGGGAATGCACAGGGTGTTGTAGGAACACGGGGGAGGGCCCATTGATTGTCAGCTGAAGGTCTTTTAGGTCCTTCAGGCTGAGCCTTGCCAAGGGCAGGAGGGTCCACTTTATGCAGAGAAGGAGACCTTCTCTCTGAAGGAATAAATGTGGCTCATCTGGGCTCCAGTGTGAGTTAGAAAGTGATTGGCAGGGTCAGTTTGTCTGTTCAAGGACCTTGGGAGCTTTGGAAGGCTTTAAGCCGAGTGACATGATCAGATTTAGGGTTTAAATGGATCGGAGGGGGTTTTCAATCCCAGAGGCCTGGAGAACGTGGGGAAGCAGAGGTGACAGAGGCTGGGCACATTCCGGAGACACTTGAAAAATCTCAAATAGTGTTTCCCTCCCATCGAGATCCTGACATACCTCTAAATGTCAAGACGCTCTGGGCTGGCCTCCCTGCCTCCCAGTCCCTCCCTGAGCCATCAAGGGCACCAGCTGATCCTGGAAGTTTGTGGGTACAGAGTGTGTTCAGAGGAGGAGAGTTTCCTCCAACCTGCTCCCCGTGCGTGGGTGAGAATCCACAGCAGGTTTTTTTGTGCAGTTGTGGGGCGGGGCGACCAGCCTATGCGTTCCACCCCCCAGTGCTGGAGAAGCCAGGCGTTCTGATGGTGTGACCTCCCGAGGCAGAGACACAGTCCTGGCCAGGGCAGAGGGACATCCAGATCTGATTCATGCAAAGAAAGGATAGAATAGGAAGGAATAATACCTCGGCCCCATTAACAGCACCCCATGCTGCAGCCTCAGTCAGGACTGGGAAATTGAAAAACAGGCAGAATTGTTCCCTGGCCCCTTGTTCGGGGCTGATTCATCGGCCAAGAGCGGCGGCTGCATGGCTCTCGTGACCATAGGCGGGAACTACTCAGGCATTTATTCATGTGTGCAGTCGGCACCTGCAAGGACTCAGCTGTGTGCAGGTGGAGCGTAAACAGCAATCCACAGGCACAGGTTACCTGCTGGGCCTGCCGCAGTGTACTGGCAGGTGTCTGGGGAGATGAGGGTCCTGTGCTGCTCCACCTGCTCTTACAGGTAGATCTATGTCAATGGTTCCAACTTCCTGCTTTCTTTCCCCAGCACCTGCTCCTCCCTCCCTCCCAGCCTCCTTTCTTTCCTTCCTTCCTTCCTTCCTTCCTTCAGCGAATATGGGCCGGGCTTCTAGAGCATCCCAGGTGTTGTACAAGGACACTGGGGAATCCAGTGGTGAAGAAAACAGGCATAGAGACAGAGGTGTTGACTAAAAACAAACACACAGACATGATATTCTACTCCAAATCACGGCCAGTGCTCCTGGCAGGGCTATAAACCACCCAGGAGATGGGGCTTACTCTTTTTTTTTTTTCCAAAAAAACTGTGGTAAAATATACATAATGCAAAATTTCCCATTTTAACCATTTTTAGGTGTACAGTTCAGTTCAGCATTAAACGCATTCATAGTGTTGTGCAGTGCTCACCACCATCTAACCCCAGAACTCTTTCGTCTTCCCAAACTGACACCCTGCCCCCATTAAACACCAACTCCCCGTCCCTCCTGCCCCTCCCAGCCCCTGGCGTCCACCCTTCTGCTCTCTGCCAGGGAATCTGACTATTCTAGGACCTCATACAAGTGGAACCATGCAGTATGTGTCCTTTTGCGTCTGGCTTCTTTCACTGAGCGTGATGTCTTTAAGGTTCATCCATGTGGTAGCAGGTGTCCGTGCTGCCTTCCTTTTTATGGCTGAATCATAGTCCCCTGTATGGATGGACCACATTTTGTTTATCCACGCATCCGTCAAAGGACACTTGGGATGTTTCTACCGTTTGGCTACTGTGCATGATTCTGTACAAACATCTGTTCCTCTCGTCAATGTAAAAGTCTATGATGTCATGTCTGGCACTGCGCTCTGTGCCTTAAACGTATTATCTACCTTTAGTCTTTACTGCAGTCCTTACAAAGTAGGTATCACCATCATTCTCATTATCTTCTCTCTCTCTTTCTTTTTTTCCAAGAGAACTGAGTCTCAAAAGGTTGAGCTGGCAAGGGGCAGAGGCAGCATCTAAACCCCATGCTCTGCTTCTGCCGTGCCACCCACACCCGAGCCTTGCCCCCTTGCTGTGTCCAGGTGCCCCGGCTGCAGGGTCCTTCCGCCTCTTTGTCTCCATCTTTTGCCTCCCCCGAGCTGGCTTTGACTACACTAGCAGCAGGTTATCTAGCTACAGGACTCTCCAGGCATACCCGTTTTTATAGATTGTATCCAGCAGTCAAACAGCTCCAGTGGTGTGTTGTCCTGGTTCTACCACGCCCGCTACCCTTCATCGGCCAGGGTGACACTGTTGTCATCAGATGTTTGATGTCTCATCCCCTAAACTCTAGCTAAGCAACTTGGCCAAAACTGGGGGGAATCCATATGGTAGAATATGGTTCAGCCATGAAAAGGAATGAGGCACTGACACCTGCCACAACGCGGATGAGCCTTGAAAACACGATGCCAAGTGAGAGAAGCCAGACGCAAAAGGCCACATACTGTATGATTCCACTCCCATGGAATGTCCAGAAACAGCAAATCTGCCGAGATCGGAAGTGGATTAGTGGTTGCCTAGGGCCGGGGTAGGGGCACTAGGGGTTGGCTGTAATGGGTAGGGAATTTCTTTTTGGAGTGATGGCATGTTCTGGAACTAGATGGTGGTGATGGATGTACAACTTTGTGAATGTGCTAAAACCCACAGAATCAAACACTTTAAAAGGGTGCATTTTAGGGGCTCCTGGGTGACTCAGTCGGTTAAGCATCTGCCTTCGGCTCAGGTCATGATCTCAGGGTCCTGGGATCTACTCTTGCCTCGGGGCTCCCTGCTTAGCAGGGAAGCCTGCTTCTCCCTCTGCTGCTCCCCCTGCTGTGCTCTCTCTCTCTTGCTCTCTCTCAAGTAAAAAAATAAAATGTTTTTAAAAAGGGTGCATTTTATGGTATGAGAATTCTATCTCACTTTTTAAAAAAGTTGGGGGAGCTGAGAGGATTTATACTCGTCAATCCTGGGGTCTCCCAGGGTCATCAAGAAAGGCTCCTGAGGAGTGTGACTGGAGGTGTGTGCCTCGTGTGAGGTCATACAGTGCTCAGTGCCCCGAATCCAGCCTGCAGCATGGAAAGGGAAGGCAAAGTACTGCACCAGAGTACGTTAGTGCAGTTTGGATCTTCTTTCCACACTCTTGGTGGAAGGTTTGGGGTAAGCAGCTTCCAGCTTTTTTTGAATTTGCATGAGGAAGAGCAGGAAGGAAGGAGGGGTGGGGGAGGAGGGAGCAGCTGTCAAGTGATTAGCAGAAATAGCTTTTCTGTACTTTATAGAATCTCACTCTTTTTTAAAATTTAAATTTATTTAACAAATGCTTATGTAGAACGAACCATGTGCTAGGCACTGTTCTCAGCACTTTACAAAAACGGACTCCTTTATTCCCCCCCACACATCCCACCACTCAGCAAGGTAGCTACTTCTCTTATTCTCCTAACAAACGAGCACATTAAGGAACTGAGAGCCTGATGACGCTTTCAAGGCCACACAGTTGGTAAGAAACAGAGCAGAGATTTGGACCCAGAGTCCGTGCCCTTAATGGGTATGGGATGCTGTCATTCACTCATTCATCATGTAAATGCCTACTGAGATGCTGTCATTCACTTATTCATCATGTAAATGCCTACTGAGTGTTGACTGTGTCATTTTGACAAGCCCTGGGGATTTGGTGGGAGGAGGAGAAGCTCCCTGCCACGGGCCGATGACTTCTTGTCAGCAGGTGTGACGCACAAATGAAGGAAACGGTACAACCAGGTGCTCACTGGGAGTGAATTACTTTACAGATGAGCCTGAAGGGAGACAAGGGGACGTGCCTGTGTTCGAGGCTGCCCAGCTGGAGGTAGGCAGGTCTGGCTAGGAGTCCAGCTGCCCATCTCCACATGCTAAGTGTGTCACTGTGGATTTTTACAGGACGGAGGCGCATGGGAGGCAGTCAACAGAAGTTTCCACTAGTCTCTGCCTACCCCAGCTGCGGCCCTGCATGGGCGGGTTCTGGGCCTTGGACCAGCTTCCTTTCTGAGTGAGGAGGCTTGGGTGTCCCTCTCTAGCCACCTGGCAGAAGGGCTGTAACTGAATCCTTCTGCTACCTTGTGTTCCTGGGGAGGGGCGGGGAGGCAACCATGTGCTTGTTCAGCACAGAGAAGCTCAGGCATGATTTGTTGGGACAGGAGCCCGTGGGGAGGATCCTGTGGACTGTTCGGTCCTATAAGACCCTGTGATGTGCCAAAGGCAAATGTACCCCTGATTCATTGGTTTTAGGCCAGCAGGACTCAGTATTTCCAAACTATTGACACTTGTGATGTAATGAAAATCCCCTGAGAGGCAGGACAGGGTGGTTCAGGGCTGGGGTCTGGGTCAGATGGGCCTATGCTCCAGCCCCACCACTTACTGACTGTGTGATGCCTTCCCAAGCCTCAACTTGCCTATCTGTAAAATGGGGAAATACTAGTTTCCATCTTCGGGCACCATACAAATAAATGATGCGGTTAGTGCCCCGTAAACGTCAGTAGCAACAATGTCTGACACTGGGCCTCACAACCCCGGGGACTTTCTGGCAGGAGATATAGCCCTGGGATGGACTCTTCATTTAGGGGCCCCTGCCTTCCAGATGGGACCTGAGCTCTGACCCGCTCCCCGCTCCAATGCTTGGCCTAGCTCCATCGTTGCTACTTGAGGAAGGTAGCACCTTCCCTTTCAGGGTCAGGGAAAGCTGTGCCCCAGCAGCCTCTGCTGCCCACCAGCCCTCCGCCCTCCGCCCTCCACTGTTATCTGGTGGCTCCAGATGGAGCTCTTCTACCCAGAGCTTTGTTACAACAGGAAGTCAGCCTGGTGAAGCTCAGTTGGATGCTCTGTCTCCACAGCCTGTCATTCCCCTCTGGGGACACCTTTCTTGGGGGCTTTTTGGATCATCGACAAGTTTAAATTATTTTTTTCTTTGCCTGTGGGCATTTATTAGTCCTGCTGTGTGCCAAGAGCTGAGACAGACACGTATGAGGTTAGTGCTGTGGAAAAAGCATGCAGCCCAGGCCTTCAGCACGCCACATGCAAGCTAGGATCAGCTGAAGGGTGTGATAAATGGTATCAAGGAAACGAATACGCTAAAAGTACAGAATAGGGAAGGAGGCAGCTTTGCAGGGGAGAAGGTGGGGGAAGATGTCCCAGGAAGAGGGACTAGCACGGATGAGTCCCTGAAGCCAGAGCATCTCCTTAGCCCCCAATCCAGGTCTCTTTACCCTCTGGAAGCCCCAGTTACTCAGGCCTCCCTCCTCCTTCACTGTCAAGTAAAGTGATTAGTGGTCCAAGGAGAGGGAACAGCTCATGCAAAGGCCCTGTGGTGGGAACAGATGGTAGGTGCATTAGTGTCCTGGGGCTGACATTTAAAAGTACCACAAACTGGGTGGCTTAAACAGCAGAAACGTTTTACCTCACAGTCCGAAGGCCTGAAGTCTGAAATCAAGGTGTTGGCGGGATTGGTTCCTTTGAGGGCTTGAGGGAGAATCTGCTCCATGCCTTTCTACTAGCTTCTGGTGTTGCTGGTAATCGTTGGCATTCCTTGGCTTATAGAGGAATCACCCAGACCTGTGCCTTCATCTTCACATGATGTTTTTCCTGTATGAGTGTCTGTGACCAAATTTCCCCTTTTTATAAGGACATCAGCCATATTGGATTAGAGATCTGCTCCCCTCCCCCACTCCAGTATGACTTCATCTTAACTAATTACATTTACAAGCACCTATTTCCAGATAAGGTCACATTCAGAGAAACTAGGTAGGACACATGGATTTTGTTGGGGGGTGGTTGGTGCACAACTGAACCCATAAAAATGTGTTCTAGAAACAGCAAGGCTGGCATGGCTGGAGCAGAGTGAAGGTGGCTGGTGGCAGAGATTGCCTGGGACCTGGTGGGCCACAGTTATGGAGTGTGGGACATGTTCCGGGCATCTGGGCCTGTTCTGAGTATGTCATTTCATCTGGGAAGCAGGAGAGACTCTACAGTTAGAGGGAGTGCAGAAACTCAGGGGCAGTGTGGCCATGAGCGAGTAGGAGTTGAAGTACTAAAGGTGGAGAAGGGGGAAATCGTGATCACTCGGCCCTGGGGACGATGCCTGGCTGTTTCCCAGGTGCCCAGAAGAGCAAAGCCCTCCCGAGGGAATGAAGACTGGGCCACGCTGGGATTCAAATCCAGGTTTACCAGTTTTCACTGTGTGACCTTGGGTAAGTTACTTAGCCTCTCTGTGTTCCAGTTCTTTCATTTGTCAAATGGGGATGCCACCCCATTTTACAGAAGAGGAAACAGGGGCTCACGAGGCCACTCAGTGAGAAAGTAGCAGAGACATGAACTGAGCCTGTCCAATTCTGAGCCATGCACCCCTTTCCCTCGACATACTTTAAAAAAATGTCAGCATCCCTCTTCCTACAGTGGAGGGGAGCCCAAGCTGGCTCCTCTGGCTCCCTCCTACATTTGGTGACAAGGGAGTACTCAGATATGGCTGATAGGGAGCTGTCTGCGGTTCTTGCAAACCTGTGCTCTGCTGTCGTTTGAGTCTTGTTGCCTGGAGAATGAAAATTCTGGTTGCTTTAAATGAGCCAGGCTCTGCATAAGTAGCCAGCCTGGTTTCATACTCTGGGAGGCAAATTTGGTATGTACCCATTTTCCAGATGGTGAAAGAGGCTTAGAGGAGGAAAGGACTTGCCTCTCTTGGGAGGAGGTGGAGCTGAGCCTCACACCCTTGCAGCTGGCCCACCACCACAGGATCTGCCCACTCTGTTATGCAGCTCTGTCCTCAGCGGGCAAATGTCTGCTCGCCATGCACCCTCCGCTGGGGAACAAGGGCTCCTTATTCCAGCCCTGCTGTGTCTGCTGCATCTGTACAAGACAGCCAGGCTCAACATACGGCAGGAAGACACACTGGGCTGGCCTTGTGGGGCCTGGGGTGACACCAAGGGCACCGGGCACCGTTCCATTTCTTCTTGCCCCCACCCCCCTCTGCCCTTCTGAGCTGGGAGGAGCCCTGAGGGATGGGGGAGGAGGCGCTGTCCTCAGATGCCCACACTATTTTTGGAGCTGCTTTGATCCCGATTTCCTGGCACATGGGCTGTGACAGGCGCTTGGAGCAGACCCCACTTGGATACAGTCAGCCATGGATGAGGGCTTACCCCACAGTGGCTCTTTCCCTGGCAATTCCGGAACTGGGCACAGACTCCCGTCCTCCAATCTGGAGGCCTTTTATTTCTTTTACTTCCTAACTGCCAGGACTAGAACTTCCAGGACAATGTTGAGCAGACGTTGCCTTGTTCCCGATCTCAGGGGGAAAGGATTCCATCTTCTAGCATTGAGCATGATGCTGACTGTGATTTATCAGCTTGAGGAAGTTCCCTCCTATTCTTCGCTTGTTCAGTGTTTTTGTCACGAAGAGGTGCTGGATTATGTCAAGTGTTTTTTCCTGAAAGATGCCTTCTTTTGAAATGTCCCAGGCAAGCCCACACTTCTGAGGTTGAAATCTCAAACGCAGGGCCAAAGAGTGAAATGCCAAATCATTGCTCATGCACTCGTGTGTCACGGCTCTGAGACAGGTGTTAAAATGATGTCTTGTTGGTGAAACAGCAGTGGTCACTGCTCTTATCTTAGGCCAGGAATTCACATTTCTGCTCCTATAAATGAGACAACAGCCCAGCAGGAGGGAGGGGGGTTGAGCTGCAGGCCTCAGCTGGCAGTGGGCCCCTCTGGGGCCACCAGCCCCCTTGGCACTCACTCCCGCTCTGCCCCCAGGCCTATGAGAAGCGCTTCCCCACCTGCCCGCAGATCCCCGTCTTCCTGGGCAGTGAGGTCCTGCGCGAGTCCCGCAGCCCCGACGGGGCGGTGCACGTGGTGGAGAGGAGCTGCAGGCTGCGCGTGGAGGCCCCACGGCTGCTGCGGAAGGTGGGCGGGGAGGAGGGTCCCAGGGGCTGGGGGGTGCGGAGGAGGGGACCCGGAAGGGGTGTGGGGGACCTGGGGGCGGGTTCAGGTGGGGGACGGAGTGTGTGTGTGTAGGTGCCGGTATGGCGGTATGGCGTACTGGGGTGGAGGGCTGGTCTGGGAAGGACCAAGCCCTAGGGATTGATTGATGGGCTGGGGACTAGGGCCTCGGCTGGTGGGCAGGCGTCGGGTGTGGGGGTGGAGGGCGTGGTACAGGATCCGGGCCAGCTGGTGGGCAGGCCAGCCGGGTCTCGGCGAAATCTCCATATCCTGCAGGCCCCCCCCCCCCACTGTCCTTCCCTTGCAGATTGCGGGTGTTGAGCACGTGGTCTTCGTGCAGAGAAACGTGTTGAACTGGAGGGAGAGGACCCTCCTCATCGAAGCCCGCAACGAGACCTTCGCCAGCCGCGTGGTGGTCAATGAAAGCTGCAGCTACACCGTGAGCCTGCACCCCCAGACCTTGCATCAGCCTAGATCCCCCTCCTCTGCCCCCAGGGCCTTGGCCTTTACAAGATGCAGGACACTGGCTTCCATCTGCAATTCAGATACACAGATGATACTTTTTTGTTCGTTTAAATAATCTCAAGTATTGCTTGGGACATACTTAACAAAGTATTATTCACTGTTTATCTGAAATTCAAATGTGGCATCCTGTATTTTGTTGGCAAAACCTGGCAACCTGCCTCCCTCTTCCTTTTCTCTCTCTCCTTTCCTTCCTCCATGAAACGCACCCTCATTTACAGTTTCTTCATCTGTTTTAAAATGGGGTTAATGATTGCACCTATCACATAGGTTGTGTTGAGGATTAAAGGAAGTGAACTATCCAAACCCCTTAGGAGAGTGCCTGGCACATACTAAGCCCCCCGTAGGTGTGTTACCTTTTTTTTTTTTTAAAAGATTTTATTTATTTATTTCACAGAGAGAGAGAGCGAGAGCAGGAACACAAGCAGGGGCAGAGAGAGAGGGAGAAGCAGGCTTCCCGCTGAGCAGGGAGCCTGATGCGGGGCTTGATCCCAGGACCCTGGCATCATGACCTAAGCCCAAGGCAGACGCTTAACAACTGAGTGGGTGGCAGCTTTTTATAAATCATTTTTAGTGCAGTATTTCTCAGAGTGAGTTCAGCCAACAGATGAATCAGCATCACCAAAGCTGCTTGGGAAATGCTTGTTTTCAGGCCCCGCCCTGGACCCATTCGGCCTAGGAACCTGCACATTTAACAGACTTCCGGGTCATGTTTCTGCCCACGGAAGTTTGAGAAGTACTAAGCCTGGGTTTGCGTAATAGCTGTGTCAACAAAGTTTGTCCTTGCTTTTATATATGTATATATTATATATAAATATATAACATAATACGTACTTTAAAATATATATCTAGAATATATACTAATTATGTTTAACTTGCTTATATATAATTGTATGTTAAATATATTACTCATTTAAATATATTATTATATATCAGTTTTTAAGGGAGAGGCATGCAGACACCAGACCCACTTTCTCCCATCCTCTCATGAGAAGGCTCTTTGTTCTCTAACACTTTCCATTGTTCTCTGGGTGGGGCTCTAGGTGCTGTCTGCTGTCTGCTCTGCCTGGGCCCACATCACCAAGAGAGCCCCTGGGGCGGGGGGGGTGGGCGCGGCATCCCCCACACTGAGACCTTGTCATCACCCCTGCCTGGCTTTCAGGTCCACCCTGAGAATGAAGAGTGGACTTGCTTTGAGCAATGTGCCTCGCTCGACATCCGGTCCTTCTTTGGCTTCGAAAATGCCCTGGAGAAGATCGCCATGAAACAGTACACAGCCAACGTCAAGAGGGTAAGGGGTGGGCTCCTGTGTCAGTCACAAGGAGGAAGGTACACAAAACCCGCTCTACCACCTGACAACCCAAGTGACATCGAGCAAGATCAATCCTTAACCTTCCTTGGCCTCAGTCTTCTCATCCATAGAATGGGTATCCTAATAATGACCATAACACACAAGATAGTGAGTGGAAACTATCCGGCCTGTAATGGAGGCACCATAATCATTATCCTGAAGCCCCCTGATGTTTGGGGCTTCTGTAGTGAACTCTGAACAGAGGAAGAGCTTTCTGTGGTGCTTTGTCCTGGTTAAAATGGTTGCTGTGTAAAGATCTCAGACCCATCACTGAGGAGAGAAGCCTGTTTGTGTAATGAAACAGCTGAAATTCATTTTAATGATATATTTTATCCAACGTGTTATCCATAGAAAACTTATTAATGAACTATTTTACATTTTTTTCTTCTGTACTAACTCTTGGAAATCCTATTTCTATTTGACACTCACCGCACATCTCCATTCGGACCAGCCACATTTCAACTGCTCAATAGCCATGTGTCAGGGCTGGGACTGCAGCCAGATGAGGGTGACGCCCAGGCTGACGCCCTTACCCCCCCACCCCCCGCGCTCCTGTCCTGGTGCTCACGTGCCTCTGATCTCTCTGGCTTCCAGGGGAAGGAGGTGATTGAGCATTACCTGAACGAGCTCATCTCCCAGGGCACTTCTCACATTCCCCGGTGGACGCCTGCCCCTGTCCGAGAGGAGGACGCCCGCTCTCAGGCTGGCCCGAGGGATCCTGGCTCCCTGGAGGCTGACAGGTCCGGCAGCGCCCCAGGCCCTGCTCCTGAGACAGTTCTTACAGACGGTAGGTCCCTGTGGCGGAGGCCAGCTGGCCAGCTCTGTGCCCTTGGCCACCCCTCCCCACTGCCACCCAGTCCCCAGAAGCCTGCTTAGGGTTTGCTCACTCCATGCGGGGGAGAATTGCTTCGGGTCCCCTTGGGAACGGGTCTGGGACCTGGAATGACTCAGCTTCCTCCCTTCCCCGCTGCTTTACCCTGTCTTCCTTCTGGCCCAAGAGCCAGAACTGATTTATTTCTAAATCAGGAATTGACCTGATCTGGTGCCTCAGGGCTGCCCTTTTCTCTGTTTTCCCCCTCCCCCTCAACTATTTTTAATTATATGAGTAATGCATGTTAAAAAAAAAAATTCAAATTTCTTGGAAGATGTAAATTAGGAAGTAAGACTCCTTTCTTCTCCCTCGAGGCCATAGTAGTTTTGTGTTCATATTTCCTAAAATTATCTAGGCATATATATGCACATAATATGTGCATACATACACATATATACAGGCATGCATACGTGTATAACTTATGGTGAATCAGTGAAAGCATGTTATACATTCTACTGGATGTTTTGCTTATTTTCACTTCTTAATGTTGCTTGAACAGTTTTCTGTGTCATTGCTTCTGTCTCAGCACTTTGCAGTATTTCATGGTGTGGTTGTACCATAACTTACTTATTAATAAACATTTATTGATTATTGATTATTTTTAGTTAATTTAGCTAAACTTCTAGTGATGGACATTTAGGTTTCTGTTTTTAAATTTTAATTTTATTTTTTCCCATTTGTTAAAAAATATAAATAATATAGTATATCTTTCTACTTAAGGTGGTTTTTATATTGGTATGAGTATATACATAGCATAAAATTTTTTAAGTTGAATTGTTGGGTCAAAGGTTATATGCAGCCCAAATTTTGTCAGATTTACCAATTAGGCCTACAAAGAGGTCGTACTAATCAATGTTCCCCCCAAAGTGCATAACTGTGTCTATTCCTGACCTCACCCTGGCTCCCCACAAGACTGTTACTAAATGTTTTAAACTGAGGGGTGCCTGGGTGGCTCAGTCGGTTAAGTGTCTGCCTTTGGCTCAGGTCATGATGCTCAGCAGGGGAGTCTGCTTCTCCCTCTCCCTCTGCCTCTCCACCCTCCCAACCCCCTCTCATGCATTCCATCTCTCTCTCTCTCAAATAAATAAATAAAATCTTTCAGAAAGCAAAAAGTGACCACTGGTAGATGAGTGGGGCCAAATATTATTTTCTTGTGCTTAGTGACTCCGTATTGCTTTTTTGTGAATCTCTGTTCTTGTACTTTGTTTATTTTCCTATTTGCCCAACTTATTTCTTACTGCTTTGTAAGAGCTCTTTGTACTGAAGGCAATTAGCCCTTTGTCATATTTTGTTGACATGGGAAATGTTCACAATCTAATGTTAAATTAAAAAAAAAAAAAACCCTAGGACACAAAACTACTCATACCCCATGAATTCAGTTTTAACCGTATGCATTAGTGCTCACGATGATTTAGTCTTTCCTTTGGGGCCACTGAAGTGTAGGGCTTGGCTTTCTTGGAGATATGCTATGTAACCAATAATATATCTGGGGCAGTGTTTAGGGAGAACAAAAGGCATTCATTCAACAAACATTCTGTACCAACTGTATATGCACTAGCTGGCTGTTGTGGTACGTGCACTTTTAAAATATTTTTTAAAAATTAAAACCTCCGCCCCTTCTTGTGCACATTATCCGGTGGTCATGCCCTGTGCCCTACTCATTTTGCACCAGGCTTTTCCTTCCTTGTCTGTCTGTGCTGTCCAGCAGCAGGCAGGTGCTCAGGATGGCTGGCGAGAGGCAGAGTCATGCCCCTTCCACCCTGCCCTGAATCACTGGGCCTTTGTGCTCAAGAGAAAGGGGCCTTGACAGCTGCATAGAGGCCGGAAGGATGCTGGTATCTCCTGCCCCGCCTGTGCTTTCGCCCTCATCCTCTCCACGCTCCCTTCCCATCTCACTTCGGACCACTCTGAGGCTCCCCCACTGCACCCCACCAGCATCTCTCCTGCTTCTGCTTACCCAGATGCCTACTGACCTCCAGCCCTGGACTTTTTTTGTTCGTCCTGCTACTGGTTGTGCACACATTCCATTTGTTTTCTAATTGTGCACAGAGAGAATGGGCTGTGCTCATGGCGGCTGCTCTTTGTGGACTGCCTCCCCACTGCTGAGATGCTCCCATGCTGGTGTGCCTCACCATGCCCGCATCTGCCACCCCAGCAGTTAAGAGTGGGCACCAGGACCTCCGTGTTGGAGCCCAGCCTCTAAATGCCTGCACACGCTGACCCCAAACAGCCCAATTGTGTAGGACAGGGACTGAACACTGGGGATGATCTGTGCAGCTCCCCGGCTATATTTTGGGGTCAGGGCTCTGTCAACGAAAAGCCTCAAACCCACAAGGGGGCTGGGAGGTGGGAAGACAAAAGGAACTGTATCTACTGACCATCTCTTTTATGCTGGGTGCACCACATGCATTCACTTGCTACTTAACCTCTCTTGGCCTCAGTTTTGTCTTCCATGAAGTGGGAACAGTAGTGTGCCCGCCTCACAGGCGTGTTGGGAGAGCTCACTGAGATGATGCCTGTCTAGAAACAATGAGCACATATTGTTAATATCTTCAGAGGGCAGGACAGCCCCAGGGGGTGGGAATTATCTGGATTTCCGAGGGTCAAAGGACACGTCACTTGCCATAGTGAGATCCAGGCTGGCCCTACCATGAGTTTTCAGAACCACCTTGGAAATGGTTTGGCAAGACTGGAGGATGTGGAGCCCACATGGCTGTTCTTCGGTGAAAGGGCCACTGTACTCGACGTTTCAGATCCGAGGCGGACAGTAAGGCAAGGGTTCCAGAAAGGGTAGACCATGTGGAGAAGAGAGTGGTATTGCCCTCTGGTCCTGAACTCCCCCATCTTCTCCTGCAGAGGACAAGCTGGATGCAGACTACATTGAGAGGTACCTGGGCCATCTCATGCCCGTCCAGGAGAGCTGCCTGATCCAGCTTCGGCACTGGCTGCAGGAGACCCACAAAGGCAAGGTGGGTGCAGAGCTGGGGTCTACGAAAGCATGTTCAATGACAGCTACTCACCTCAGGCACTGGGGGAGGAAGGGCCAGGTAAATACGCCGATGTAATTAGCAATCCTGGAAACTTATATTTTGCTTTCTTTTTTAATTTAAATTCAATTTAATCAACATATACTATTATTATTAATTTCAGAGGTGGAATTCAGTGATTCATCATTTGCATATAACACCCAGTGCTCATTATTTCAAGCACCCTCCTTAATGCCCGTCACCCAGTTACCCCATCCCCCCACCCATCTCCCCTGTTTTGCCTTTTTATTATGTATTGTCTCATGTATCTATAACGTGTGCTGTGCGTACCATTGATCGCGGGCTTTCTCATCCTCTGCACTGTTGACATTTGAGGCTGGACAGTTCTTTATGGGGTGGGGCTGTCCTGTGCACTGCAAGGTGCTGATTAGCATCCTGGCCTCCACCAGTAGATACCAAGAGCTCTTCTCCCCCAGGTGTGACAACCAAAAATGGCTCCAGACTCTAAGCCCCATCACATGAATGTCCATTGTACATGTAGGTCCCAAGCATGGACTTGACCTTCGGCTCTGTTGAATAAGAACTTCGAGCTTGCCCTTCCGTCCTATCCCCTCCCCACGCTGGGGTGGGGGCGGACAAGGGAGACGGGGGCAGACAGGGAGTTACTTTCCTGTTGGGCTGTGATTAACCTATCTGCCCCTGTTTTCTCATCTATAAAAGGGGGATGATGCTGGCATATGCCATCTGCACTAAATTACAAGGGACAATGCACATAAAGTGCCTAGAGTCGTGTCTGGCTCAGGATGAGCACTCAGAAAAGGGGAGCTTTCATTGGGGCTGGGTTTCCCTTGCCTGTTGCTATTTGCCTAAGGGAAGGAAGGAGAGCTGGCGGGGTCTTACCCTGTCACCTCAGCCTATTACTTAGTCTCTGGGTTCTGTGTGGTAGGAATGCAGCTTGAATCAAGGCAGAAAATAAGGAAAGGAGTATTTATTGTCTCATATACGTGTTGAGCAGGGTGTATTCATTTTCTAGGGCTGCTGAAAGAAAATGCCACAAACTGAGTGGCTCGAAACAACAGAAACTTATTCTCACAGTTCTGGAGGCCAGAAGTCTGAAATCAAGGCGTGGGCAGGGTTGGTTCCTTCTGAAGGCTCTGAGGGAGGGTCTGTGCCATGCTTCCTCCCTCCTGGTTTCTGGTGGCTGCTGCCAGTCCTTGGCTGATAGATGCGGCGCTCTAGTCTCTGCCTCCATCATCATCCCATGGCCTTCTTCCCCCAGTTTGTCCTGTGTCTGTGTCCCAATTCCCCTCCTGGAGTAGGGCCCACCTACTCCATTGTGACCTCATTTTAGCTAATTATATCAGTATAGACTCATTTCCAAATAAGGTCCCATTCTGAGGTTATGGGTGGATGTGAATTTTGAAGGAACATCATTCAGCCTCGCACAGGGGCCCATGCAACCTACCACAGGGATGTCCCGAACCAGGACTCACACATGGTCGGGACCCCTGAGCTCTTGTATCTGTTTGCCTCTGCTTCATCCCCGTCAGACTTAACTTCCCTGTTGAGCTTGGAGCTGTGGCTGCCCGTGGCTTGCAGGCTCACCTTTGCCACTGCATAGAAAGGGGTTTATGACATATTCTTCTGATTTAAATTGGGTTTAAATCTGGGTTGTGCCATCCCTGAGGCCATGAGAGTGGAGTGCTGATTGGCAACACCAGCTAAAACCAGGATGGGTGCTGGGGAGTGGGGAGGAAAAGCAGCTCCCCAAAAGAAAAGAGGTACATGAGGAGGGAGGAGCGTCAGGCAGCCCAAACTCACAGATTTTCCCTACAGTTCACCCCTAGACTGCGTCATGGTTAAGTGTATGGTCCTTTTCCCAGCTA